CTGTCTTAACGATGACACTCGCCTTTGTTATTCACGGAGATTGAGGGGGTTTAGCTTTTGTGTAAGTGCTTCTCAGCTGTGATGGAAACAGGAGGCGAGACTTTGAATTAAGAGAATAATGACAGTTTGTGAGACACGGTTTGAAGCTTAGCCAAGAGCTAGATGAGGAGGGACGGGACGGCAAGACAAGCTGACATCAAGTCACTTCTCAGACATACGTTTGAAATATAAGAAGCATAAAAGATGGGATCAACTATTAAAGACGTACAGAGAAGGCGAGACAAAGAAGAGAAATCAGAGAGGGAACAAAGGGAGCTTCTAATCGAGCAATGTGCACGAGGGAGGAATGTATCCACATTTGCGTGCTGTCAGATACAGACGGTCACTCAGTGAGATGTGAGGTCATCTCATTTCACCCAGACTCCGAGCTGTCTGTGAATGCACCACGCTTTCTGTGGATCAGGCCACACACACACACACACACACACACACACACACACACACACACACACACACACACACACACACACACACACACACACACACACACACACACACACACACACACACACACACACACGAGTCCCATTCCATCTATAGACACTAGAAGTCCAAAGCCACAGTTTAAACTAACTTCCGATATCTTCTACCAATTCCAACCTAATCCTGTGAAAACAGCAGTTCCCGGCTGCTTCAGCATACATATTTCTGTAACAGTGCTGCAGTGCTGCTCAAACTTCAACCAAAATCTCAAAACATCCATAACGGATTAACGTTGGAGTCTGAGGTGTAAACCATGTGCTTCAGAGAAACACATTAATGTGTTTTTGCCAATACTCCATCTTTAATATTACACTGGTTTTTACCGGTATATGATGCTTGATCATCAAGCCTCTTCTGGAGTCGACCTGCTTCTGCTCTTCCTGTTTGTGTCTCATATTTAAAGTCATCAGCATTTAAACATGAATTCATGTTTCTTTAATACAACTTTTCTTGAGTGCAAATTGCTTCTAAGACAAAGGTAAATAAGTGTGAACAGGTTTTGTCTTTTCACCGACTGGATCCTAATATTTTACTGGCTGCTGAACATAAACACTCCTCTAGTCATTATTTTAGTAAATCAGACAGATTTTCAGTCAGTTTTGGGGCAAGATGCAGTTTCACTTTTGGAAAAAGTGTTTGTGTGTGTGTGTGTGTGTGCGTGTGCGTGTGTGTGTGTGTGTGTGATCGACTCAACCTAAACTAGAGGCCCACTAGGGCTGCACGATTATGACCAAAACAATAAGAGACGAGCCAAACCCCTCCCTCCCCTGTGTAATCGGGAAACATCTATGGATAGCCGGAGTGGCCAAATAACCTCAAACGTATTGTAAGGGTTAGAATAGTAAACTATAGGGTTAACTTTGTATTTTGAAGGCGAGCTCAACGGGCGAGAAATGTTCCGGTTCCGTTTTTTTCTGCTCTGGTTTGCTATGCCAGTAAATACTCCGTTACGAGTGATTCTGTTGAAAAAGTTAAGAGTTTGTAAGACGTGAATAATAATAATTGTGAATACCATGGCGCTAAAGCAGCTAAACTCATATATTTGTGTTCAATAATCATGATTTCAGTCTTTTTTCCATGTTCGAGCAGCTCTATGTCCAATTAGAGCTGCATTTATTTATTGAGCTGACATTTCAAATGAAACGACGCACTTCAAACACACAAAACCAGCTAGTTAGAAGCTGTGCTGGCCGTGTGGGAGTTTATAAAATGTATTTTCAAAATTCATATTGATTTAGTCAGATGTTAAAATCATGAGAGGAATGTATGGTACGGGCTAGTGCTGCATCTGGTGAGCATGAAAATATGTCCCCCCCCCTTTTCACTCTGTCTTTCTGAGCTCTGAAGATGAGAGATCCCACCGTGAGGCCTCGGCTTTGGCTTAGCCATCAGTGCTCGCCTGTGTCCTGTCAGAAGTAGTGACAGCTAACATTCCCGATGAGTAGCAGAGAGCCTAATGTCCAAAGAAGCTGCACACTTCAGGGGAAAAAATGAGAAAAAGCAACAGATTTTCCACCAAAGTAGGCGATAAAACACAGCCGTGAAGCTACAGGTCAATGCAGAAAACAGAGGGCAGGAGAGGAGGTATGGAGATAAAAGATGGAGGGATTAAGTGGGATAGGCCTGTGGACATATGTGAAGGGGGGGAGGGGTTACCATTTGGATAAGGTTAACACAAGAAAGCTCATCTGAGGCAGGAGATTGGTTAAAACAACTGAACTGAAGTTCTACCCATATAAACACCCATGTTTGCCGGTTACTTATTCATGTTCTGATCTGGGATTTCCTTGCTCCCAGTCCTCTGTGGACTTGAAGTATTCTGGCAGGAAAAATTGTTCACGCTGCTGCGGGTGATGAATTGGGTGGAAAAGAAGAATAAAGGAAGGCTTTTGAAATAAGAGAGAGGAGGTTGAGCTGCATGCCTGTGGAGTAATCCGACGTTTGACCATCGACATACATATGTGTTTGACGGAGGACACCCCCAAATTCCTCTCATCCTAGCACGAGTGTGTCTGACACTGCAGGCAGATCTGGAGGGCATTTCACCTAAACTCTGCTCTGATTCGCTTTAATATGTTCTCCAACGAAAATCTGCACCCAACTTCAAAAATGAAGCTAAATGACCAAATGAGCTCCTCTTCCTCCACCGCCCATCAAAGCCCCCTCACATCTCACCGAGCACTTGGTCCTGCACCGAGCTGTTGGGGTCATCCAGGTGCAGGAGGAGCTGCTGAAAGAGGAGCTGCAGATGAGGAGCGCAGAGCTCCGGGTTGTAGTCTGTGGTCAGACTGGACAGCCAGAGGCCCACAGCCTGCAGGGCGATGCCACGAACCTCCTCGCTGCTGTCGTCCAGACGCTTCAGCAGCTCTGTGCACAGAGCAGCGGGGTTTTGTGAGTTAGACATAAGTGTGTGTGTGTATGCATCTACACAAATTAGCATCTTACATGAATTTACACTCTTTCATCACCATAAACCAATAAAAGTAATGAAAACATGCAGATCAGAAGGTGTGCCCAGCTTTCCAGATGAAGTGTGGAGGGTCGTTAGAAGAGAGATAACCTCTACCTCTCTATCCAAATAAAAAAACACCCCATAGCTGTCAGCACCTTGCACAACTAAAGGGCAAAGGCCAGAAGAGGCCCTTTGGAATTGATTCCATCGTCACTTACCAGGATAAATCTTGTTGAGAGCCTCGTGGTGCAAACTGGTTCCTATGAGTCCGAGCATGGCAGAAAGCGAGCGGCAAGCAAACAGCCTACTGGTCTGAGAGTCCTCCTCTAGGGCTGAAAACACCCGGGGGCTCAGCTGTTCCTCCAAACACAGAAGCTGCAACAGAATAAACAGCCCAGAGTCACGTCAAACGCACACAGACAGGAGTTCAGACTTTCAACCAGTTTCGAGCTTTTACTTGCTTTAACTATTCAAGTGAAATATCACCTTAATGTTCTAATGGCAGCAAGATGAGAAGCAGATGTGATGGACAAACAAGGACAGGCTGTCGAACGGACTACGGTGATGGCTAAAACCTCTGTCACCATGTGTGTTTGCTATTGAGACCAAACAATAAAACGGAGCGCTGGGAGAGGGAGGGCTGGAGACAAAAAGAGGAGGAAAGCTTGGCAGATGTTTGATCCGCCATTACATCAGTGACAACCTGAGGGTGCCAAGAGTAACTGGAGCTGCAAACTGTTTTCCCAGGAAGTGGAGGGGGAAACAATGTTCGACTAACCTGTGGAAACACCCACGCACACACACACACCTCCCTGTGATTACATCGGTCCGATCATGCTGTTGATTCCATCTGAACTGTTAGCCCGTTCCAAAGCTTACGGCCATTTTTATTCACCACACTTCAGGTTTTCTAATCTCCAAAGAACATTTGGGTGTCATCAGATAGTACATGTTTGATCATGCACACCCACACACACATGCTCACACACTGTCCCCCTGATGTTTGCACTGCCTCACACTTAAGGACGTGTGACTGAGAGAGCACACGAAGAGGACAAGCGCTGCCAGATGTGAGTGCACACTGCATCTCAGCACATGATTCAGCAGGCAGGTGCGGGGCCAAGTTCCGGTGACGGTTCCTACGTGTAACGAAGCCCAGAACAGCGGCCAGCATTGTTCCTTTGGGACAAAAGTATGTGAACCCAATTGCCCATACGCCCCACCTGCTACCTGCTGAGGCCAACTCTTTAAGCCAGTTTTGAAAGATGGTGGAAATATGTTTATTTTTTTCTAAATACCTGTGTGGGACAGTTGATGAAAAATGGACAAAACAGAGAAAGGGAATGTTAAGATGGGAAAAGTTACAAAACATTTTTCCCATTACAACCCAATCAGGTCCAGTAATACACCACCTAAATAAAGAAGTGACTCATCGCTCTCATTTCTGCAACATGGATGTGTGCATGCACCTGTCCAGCTGTGATGCTCCCCCCATGCAGCAGGGCCAGCAGACAGCTGAGAGCTGAAGTTCGGACGGCACCAGCGGTGCGGCCTGCACGCCACACCAGGTTCGGAAGCAGGATGTCACACACAAACTTCTCAGACTCCTCACGGAAATGTCTGGAAGGAAAAATGAGGAATCGATGAGTCATTTCAGCTGCAAATACTGAAACAGTAAGAAAAAGCTGTGAAAGATGCAATGAGATGATTACTGCAACACAACTGTTACTATCCAGTCCTTTTCCCACACTCAGTACAGCAGAACAGCGAGGAGCGAGGAAAAGCAGGAGGCAGAAACATCTGGGCATCTCTTTTCCACACTGGCTTAAGCCCTCTGACATCAAACTCGCAGCACCTGCACCCAGCTTTACACCCACACAGCTCCTCACAGCATCCAGCTTTTACTGCTCAGCTGGAGTGAAAAAGTATTTTCAAGTTTTACATATTTATTAACGTCTGCTGCAATGTTTCAGCACCACTGGGGGGGGGGGGGGGGGGGGGGCGGGGGGGGGGGGACTGTGTGTCACTATTAGGTCAGCACCTTCATAATGAGTTGGCTAAAAGGGATTCGGCATGAAGTGTTGACAGTCAGTCCTGAGTAGGGTTGGGGCATCGTTTGATTTTGAACGATTCAGATTCAGATTCCTATCGATTCCGATTCTTTCAAGACATGACATGCTTTTACATGAGCCAGCTAACCACCGTCCTACTTGAGGAAATAATCTTGACTTCAACATGAATTTTAATTCTATGAACCACAACATCACCTTCATTTAGACAAAAAACTTGTTTTAGAGAAAAAAAAGATAAAGACTTGCAGCACAACCAGTGTGTTTGTTTCTGACCACAACCAGCGTCTGAGAAGAA